GGGATGCCAACACAAACCCCGTGCACTGCTGCCATAACAGCATCCTGCATAGCCTGCTGGTATTCAGAGCATCTTTTAGGCTAGGGACTGTTCATGGGTACTGGGTCCTGCCTTACACTAATTTCTGCCTCATGGGTAGAGATGTGAATGATAGCTGCTAGCAGCGCAGCAAACAGTTATTTTCTTAAAGCATCCCACATCTCTTCGTTTAGGAAATTTGCATTGTGTGACAGGGTAGGGAGAGCGTGCTGGTGTGACCACCAGTTCTTTGCTTTTGCACGTTTTGCAGTGTTACTGTAGATGTAGTGCTTGGGGTTGCTGGAAACACAGATTGTAAATCCTCTTTTTAAGATAAAATGATATGCAGAAGAAAGGGACAAGGAACAATAGTTTCAAGCAAGCTAGCAGCAAATTTCTAAACTTAGGGTTGTTCCTTCTCACGAAGCTCATTTCGATGTTTTTGGCAAACATTTACTGCATCTGCCTAAAATTTATTTTTGGACAATTTGTCATATTCCGTAGGCACAGGATTCTTACTCCAGAAGTGGGATAGCACCTGTAACAATCTCAGAAATTCCAGATATGGGATTTACAATGACCTTAAAGGACAGTAAACGTGACACTGAACTTGTGAAGGTACTGAGCACACAGAAGCTCAGTGGACATCTACTCCTCTGAAAACCACTTTGTATTTAAGAACAGCAAACAGAGCATCTCTGATGAGAGAAAACTCTGCTGGTGCAGAACACACTGCCACAACTACAGGGGAGTCATGGCTGAGAAAAGCAGGCAATAAATAGCTCCATACACAGAAAGCAATGCTGATTGTTCAGTTATCCCCAGAGCTTTCATTTTTTTTCATGGCTTGGTCCCAAACCACGTACTTCAGAGACCTCAAATAATTTATTGATTTGATCGCATCAAGATTTTAACCTAAGACTCAAAGCTTTTAGCTTTTCCAGGCTAAAGCACATGCCACAGTTTTAACACCACCAGGCCAGCACAAAGTCCCACCCCCAAGCCACCCTCTTTTTCCTGAGAGTTAAACTGGAAAATAGATCTGATTTAAACCTAATTTTGGGGAAAAAAGGGGGAGAAAGAGTTAGTTTTAGCTTAAGTCAGTGGACTAACCCAGATTGTCTTCCAGACATGTAAATGCTGCGCCGGGCCAAGGCTGGCAGCTGGGGATGACCCCGTGGGATGGGGAAGGGATGCTGCTTCTGGCAACCGCTCTGCTCTGAGGCGCTCATCACGCTACGCTGAGCACAACGCGACCTTCTGTGTAACACACAGGGCTACGATGAGCAAACAGCCTCTGCACTTACCCCGAAATTGGTCCATCTTCTTGCTTGCCAGTGGTGTCGTCTGCGGAAACAACAACAATAACGAGAAGCAAAGTTAGCGGCGCGGAGGGAAGGAGGCTGAGCTGAGGCACGAAACGCGTCACGGAGTGACAGGGCGGCGAAACCCCCAGGCTCTCCCCGGGATAAATTTCAGCCAGAAGGAAACAAAGCCCGGCTGCACGGCTCCCGTGTGAGGCACGGACCCCAGGCCCGGGCACCAACGCGGGGAAGCATCGCCCGAGGAGCTTCAGGCGGGTCTTTAGGGAGCTGTAAGGCTCCGGGGGGGCGAAATAAAGGGATGAAGCGGGGAAGCCGCCCGCAGCCCGGCGGTACCTACCCCCGTACAGCCAGTGCTCCTCGTCCTCCTCCGCCTCCAGCGGCGCCGCGCCCTGCACCGCGCCGGCCGCCGGCGGCTCCAGCTCGGTGGCCATGGCCGCCGGGGGGCTGAGGGGAGCGGGACGACGACGACGACGAGGAGGAGGAGGAGGAGGGCGGCGAGCAGCGGCCTCCCCCGGGCCCCGCTACGCTCCCGCCGCGGCCCGAGGCGAGGCCGCGCATCCGCTGCGCCCGCTACGGGGCGGGGAGGGCCGCGGGCGGCGGGGCTACGGCGCCGCCATGGCTCCGGCTCCTGCCGCGGGAGGAGGCCGGCGGGCCCCGGCCCTGCCGCCGCCCGCCCGCCGCCACAAAAGCGGGGTCCGGCGCTGAGGGGAAGGGGAACGGAGGGGGACGCATGCGCGGGGCGGGGGGCGCATGCGCTGAGAGAAGATGGCGGGCAGCCGCCAGCCCGCCCCCCCACCTCCCCTCCTCCCGTCGCCGCGCCTCAGGCACGGGCGGGCCGGGGATGGCGCTGAGGGGGCAGCGCACGGGGGCTGTGGGGGGGTCGTGGTGGGGTCGTGGGGTGTCCATGAAGCGCCCCGGGGGCTGCGGAGCATCTCCCTGCTGTGGTGCTAGGATTCACGTGCCCTCGTTTTTTGGCTTCGCGCCTCACAGCCGAGGGCTCAATTATTATCATTATGGGCTCAAGCCACAGCTCCCCAAAATTGTTCTTCTGTAGCCCTGAGCTCTTGGGTAGCTTCTGATAGAATCACACAATTCAGGTGTAGGCTGCACATCGGCCGCCCTCAGAGCTCTTAATTCCACCACAGCTACACAGAAACTTACAGCGATGAGATTTCCAGCGTTAACCGATGCTACCAAAACCAACCATACTCGAATGATATTCCAAGAGTGATAAAGTTGCCTTTATCCTTTCATCATAATCCAAGGCTGATAAAGTTGCCTGTTCCATGCACTGAAAAACAACAAAATATTACATCAAAAAAGTACCTGAGGAGCATCTCTTCTCCTAGCGGTCTGAGTCCTTCTTCCTCCTTGCTCCATTTTCTGCTACGGGCAGAAAGAAACACTGCGCGTACGCTCACCACAGCAATGGGGCTGGAAATCAGGCAACAGTTCCACAGGAAAACACAGAGCCTGAGAGCAGCCCCGAGGCCCCTTGGTGATACACGGCCAGCGGTAATGAAAAATGTTCTGGTGGAAAATTGCCACTCACACAAAGAGCCTGTGCAGTGTCCAACAACTCTTGTTGCCTATTAACAGAGTTTAGGGTATTTTTTTTTCCCCCCAGACAGTCCCAAAACAGCACTTGAGCTAAAAAATAAAAATAAAACTCAACAGAAATTAAATTTGATTTGAAAAGAACTAATTTATACTTTGATGGAAAGAGCAGCTGACTCCTCAGTTTCCAATTTACACCTTTGCACTTCATAAACTTGCTCAGATTAAGATTTGGAGTGACACTCTGTGGCTACTGATTTCACGGTCCAATGGCAGTCATTCTAGGGTCAAGCTAAATTTGTCTTTGACAAAGGATGAAGCGTTCAGCTATGTAGACCAGCATGGAATTAAGCTCATGAGCTGCCCTGCTGAAGTGTCCCACATCGCTGCAGTCTCTCTGAGCTGTGCCCATATGTGATTTGGGTTCTCTCAGCCACTTTATGCACTCAACTTTAGGAATGTTAAAAAGGCTATTGTTTGCAGAAAGTCCTGATAGCCTATATTCTGCAAGTGGAATGGCTTCAAAGCATCTCAAATTGGGCATTCAACACAACCACCGGGCATCCTAGTGCCACAACAAAAGCTCCCACCAGACTGCGAGGGCTGGTGTAAAACAAGCATCATCACAAAATTCAACAGTACAGAAATATCACACAAGTCTGAAACAATGGGACTAGTGACAAGAGTGTCTGTTGGGAGCTCCTAACTGGAATTGACTGAAGAGAGAAACTCCCAAATTTATCAGACTGGTTATAAATCAGAAATACAATAGAGCCATTAAGGAAACAAATGTGATCCTTTAAGTTTAATGAGTCACATTATTCTCACAGAAGAGAAAACTATTACATTGCTATACCTGGTGCCATTAGCCATGCTATAGACATTAGCCATTTTCTGGAACACCAGATCCTTTTTAGTCACCCATATTGAAAGAAAATTAATTCAAACTGGAATAATTGCAAGCAAATGGAAAGAAAGCAGGATGATCAGAAACAGAATTTTGCTTTTGAAAGCAGATTAGCATTTTGTCTAGCAAGTGAGGACTAAGAAGATTTAAGGGTCTCTATAAAAGCTTAACTAGAAAAATGAACTCAGCTGGAACATTTCAACAGTTTGTGATGAACAATACTGACAGGAAGGACGCGTAACATTCTAAATGAATTGGCATGGACATTATAAGCTTCATTACTGAAAAGTACTGAAACTACCTTCCAATAGTATAAGTGGGAGCCAAATCCCAAATGTTCTTAAGATGGACCTTTGCAGTAGTCTAAGCAAGCACATCTCCTAAGTCCTAATTGGATCAACTCCATGGCTCAACAAAACGTTCCTATATTTGGCACAGCAACAAAGGAACATTCTCTAAATTTCTCAAATAATATTCAATAACAGTTACATGCCTAAACAGCACGTAAACCCAGGTGTTCCTGTATTTGTCCAAAACAGCCGAGGACACCAATTTTCAACATCAAGTGTTGCACGTGCCTATTTTGGGAATGCAACATTTCCCCTCAGGGATGAACCTAGGGCTTTAATTTTAAGTCCTGCTTTCACAGCTACAAAGTTCGCCTGTTAACACACACAAAAGGCTGCATTGTCCTGCATTCATGATCCTCTCCATAAACCAGTGATTTGTTTCCTGAACACACTACCCGTGCTCAGGTTAGGCTCCCTTTGCAGTGCTACTGCAGTAGCAAAAACCTGTGCTCTTCTCAGTTCTCTGAGCTCAGCATCACCACACTGCAGCGGTGTATCACGGATGCTCTGGGTATCAAAGGAAGGCGGCAGCAAGAGACTCCTGCAAGAAATCTTTACAACAGAATGTTTGTTCAGTTGGCTTACAGACTACGTGGAAGACCAAGTGTCACGATCATTCTACTGTTTTATTTTTGGGAAAGCCTTCATAAGTTTTCCAAGTCTTGTCATTTAAACCAGCCAAACCATACCGGGAGCCCCAGTGCAAGCACTCGATCTGGCCAAGTCAGAAACACCTCATTTAAACAAAACCCACCAACTGCCATTCCGCTCACACCCGATCAGCATACTCCTACAGGGAGAGACGCAAAAGATTTTGTTTCCATAAACACATTGCACTACTCAGAGGTTTTCATCTTTAAATTTAATTACAGAAAAATGTTTCAAAGTGATTAAGCATGTCTGACTTCCAGCTTCTTTTAATGGCACAAGCCAATGCAGTAAAATGTAGAAATATAGCTCAGAATTTTATTTAAAAAAAAAAAAAAAAAAGGAAAAGAAAAAAGTCTCAAGGTGTGAGGTCCTATTAAAAAAGTGGCTGTTCACTTGTAAACAGAATAAAAATGTTAAGAACAATTAAAAAAGTTTCATACAGCTTAAACAAAACCACTTTCCTTAAGCAATACAAGTAACGTTACAACATCGTAAGAACAGCAAGAGCAGAAAACAAGAGAAGGCAGAGGAATCACGTAACATTACTTAAAATGATAACTTATTTTCAGTGAGAATAGCTTAACATTTTTATTGCTCCGAGGGTAGTGTGTTGACAAGTAAATGTAGTAAATTGTCAAAGTGGGACACTAATATGCATATATCTATGTTTTTGCATACAGAGTTTTGTACCTATCAAGAAAAGCATAGGGTCTTTTTTTTTTTTCTGATTTATCAAGAACACACAAGATTTTGGCAAAGATGTTTTCTGTTTTAAAGTTATGCGCATCTACAACTGAGTCCACGCTTCCTAGACACGTCTGTGCATGTCTTAAAACACATCTTTCCTCCTTCTGTGGTAAAACAACTTCACAGATGCAGGTGGGGAATCATAGGTAAGAACTTTGATTCTTTATCAGTATTCTTTAATACTCCTTACATACAAAAACTTCTTAGATACAAAACCAAGTGCTTCCTACATACAAGCTAGAAAGAAAAGCAAGTGTCAACATGTTGATATGAAAAATTGAACACTGATTAGGTAGACAGTTATTTCTGTAATGACTTCTAAAAATTTGCTGCAAACTCACACTCTATACTGTTACCGGTTCCCTTTCTCCTTTTTCACTGCACAATATTTTCCCTTTTTTAAAAACAAGTCAAGACACTTTCTTTACCATTTCCATTACACTTTGCTAACATCAATCTCATATTGCTAAGCATTCTTTCTCCAATTAACATTTGTCCTCCATACATACATCTACCAAAAAATGCTGACTTCTTATTGTCAAAAATGAGTTTTTCAGTCTTACGAGATATAATTACCTGCTGAATGTTTTTATATTAAAGAAGGACAGCCTAGGAAAAAAGAGAACCTGTAGGCAGAACAGAAGTGCACAGAGTTCACAGCAGTATTTACAGCTGCCTTCATCTTCAAATGAGCTATTGAACCTGTGTCTTTCAGATGCAAATATAATACTGCGTGCTGTTTTTGCATTTTAATGCAAATTTATCTTATTAAAACATGGAGCTTGTGTTATTTGCTGTTTTGGCTCTCACACCCCTTTACTAGTTGCTCTATGGCCACATATTTAAATGTCTATTAAAACACAAAAGGAAAAGACCCTTTCATGGTTTGAAGATTATATAATTAACAGTTCAGGACAAAGTAACGTGTACAGAATTAATGTACTTGAAATGTAAACTTTAAAAATTAGTATTATGCGCTTAAGTGGGAAAACTCACAGTATTCTCTCCGCTTGGCACAGCATTTCACTGAAACGAGACAAATCAGTTTGAGAAATTTTGAACTGAATATGATGAAGTCTGCACAGACTCTAAAGAGGATTTCTGAAGGCTGCTCAGCATTCACCACTGGCAATTACTAGAACTCTCATTTGGCTTGCCTCTTCTCTCAGTTGGAAAAGAGCATTTTGAAAAATATAGTCACATAAAAGAAAAAATTAAGGACCTGCTGTGATTTCTTGAGTTTCTTACATAAAAAGGAAATTAATAAAGTTCTGGTATAACAGTAAGCAACTTCCATTGTTCCATCAAGCTAAGCTCCCTTCATTTACAGAACAAAAACTCATTAGAAAGGGAAATGCATGTAGAATCGGGTGTGTTACAATACTGTTTTCTGCCATTAAATATTTTCTACGCTTCCAGTTAACACTCATCCTAAAAAAATAAAGTAGAGAGAATACTTCGTATGGTTCTGTGATAGAAATCTGAGTTGCAAGGTGCAGCTTGAGTTAAATTCACACAACACAGTAGTTTATTCATTAAATTATATTACAAATGCAATTAAACAGTTTGTCATCAATCTGCCAGTCCAATGAAACCTCTGCACTAAGTATACAGATTACAGAGTCTGAAGCATCAGCCTGCAACTGGAAACTACTGCAAGCACTGGAGTCTGATACTCCCTGGCTGTACAGTAAGAATAGCAAGAAATTTGATTTGAAGTAGCAACTCGTATAAAACTGGCCTTTTGTAAACACTGTGTACTAGGACTTTGTCCTACTACGGCTATTAGAATGTGATGGTTTTACAAATACTATATTTTAATACAATATTGCATACTGAAGAGATGCAAATACATTCAGAGGAAATCCTAAGTCAGCCTGAAACTAAAAAGAAACCTGGGATGATGTTGCAAGGAATCAAGTTGCTGCAAAGAAATGCGTGGACATTTATGATATTTGTCGCAACTTGCAGATAAACAGTTGCTTTTCCTCTTATTTCTCATTTCTATCTAGGAAAGGGGTGATATTGCATTTTCCTTTGCTGTTAACAAATGGTCATGCTTAGGCCAGGCATTACAGGAAGTTTTTCTATGTTTACGTCCTTTCCTGAGATCAGACAAACAGGGAAGAGTCCAAAAATCCTCGTGAAGGCATTTGTGGCTCTTCAGACCATGCTTGAATGCAATATGCACGAACCCATTCAACTGATCCACTTCCTCTCATCAGCACATTTTGAAGCACTACTCTGATTTAGATAAAATTTATTTCCACTAGAAAGGATGCCATATCATTTAAACCTTAAAACACTGAAAGGACTATCACACTACAAAAATAACCAGCGTCACTTCATCTTCAATTTGGCTGTTCCAAATTTTTTCTCCACGGTAATGACCATCTCCAATTATGAAACACTCTTTTCCCTGCTTAGAAAAAAATAAAAAAACTCACGAGAATTGATGGATTCCAGGTATTCTGAATTTAAGAACAGGCTTTAGGATATTTTGCTATTAGCAGCTGCCATCTACCTCACAAATGCAACTTTTTTTGTTTTTAAAGATAAACAGTATTTAAGGTTCTAATTTCAGATGCTACAAATAACACCCGAAATAATTTCCAAAAAAAAAGTCAGAACAGAAATGCTATGCATTTTTCATCTGTTTACTAAACAAAGTGCAACTGAGCCCTACACATCTGATAGTATGTACAAACTCATTATGGCTTTACCATAAAAACAGCACGCAAATGGGTCTGTACAATCAGAGGAATGAGAAATGTAACGAATAAAAGTATGTCAAAATGTTGGCAATAGAATAGTAAGAGCTATATTACATTCTGTAAACCTTGGCATACCACACTTTACATTATGCAAAGAGTCAATATTTACAAATCCATAGTGGGTGAAATAATTAACCCCCTAATGTAAATGATGATTTTGCAAAGTGCAGGACAAAACCAGTGCTGTTAATTGCAAGTCCTATGCAAGCAAGTTATACTAAAGTCTTTACTACTAGACGCTTACCTGGACATTTCTACTGAGGATTTATAGGATTGTGATGTTTAGAATGAAATATAGTATGACACGGCATTAGGGTGCATTTTTGAGGACAGCAATATAGAAATTAATAAGGCAGCATGCTCAGAACAAGTTTAAGCAGCACTGATGTTAGATCCCTAGTGGCAACTATATCAGTTATTGTTAATGTTAAAAATTCAGAGTGCAACATAGAAGCCTCTTTTAACATAAAAAATGTGCAAATTTTTCTCAAACAAAACAAAGTAACATAGCAAGGAAGATATTCTACTGAAGAACAGTTTTTAAATCACAGCAAAGTAGACCATCTTCTTTCCAAAACCATCTACAAGGCACTAAGGGTAGAAAATGACAGGTAACATGAAAGACCAAATGTCGTTCCTCAGTCAGGCCGAAATATGGGATATTTTGGTAAGAATTCTATTAATATTACCTGTTGAAGGAGGAAAAAAGACAAGAACAAAACAGTAATCAACAAGGTCAGACCTTCAGAACAACCTTCCATGCAACATTAGCTAGTATATAAAACTAAACTTGTAAGAGAATGTTACTCAGCGTAACAAAGCTGTAGGTTCAGTCACTTTGACATACAGAGCTTACAGATGCTTGACTTTTTGGGGACAGCCAACCCTTTTCTTTAGGCTAGGCTATCTCCGTGGTTACACAAGAAAGCAGATGACGGAATAGTACGATCACTAAATATTTGAAATTCTCCTCTCTTAAATGGACTATCTTGGTTAAGCCTTTATAAGTCTAAGAACCAGAAAAAAAAAATAAGAAAGCAACGGTCCAGACCGAAGCCACACTACTGTAAAAATGCTGCATGTCTGCACCCAAATGCTGAATCAAAGTAATCATAAATAGCGATAGAAAAGGTGCTGAATTATGCAATGGTGTGGGAATCACACCAATGTGTGTAGTCCTGGTGGGTCTCCCTTGTTACAAACCACAGATCTAAGTAAGTGTACCTGCAGCACGCAGGTAGAATTGTTATCAAGAGAAAAATTTAGCAGTGACAATTTCTAATTTTCATTTATGCTATGGCTAGTCTTTAAAAGTGGCCTTCACAAATGTCAAACAGCTGCAGATTTTCTGAGATCACTCAGGTGAAAGCCTAATAACTTCAGTTTCTCTATAAAATCCAGGTAACATTGAATACCAAATCAGTAACAGAAATAATACTTACATACTCCATCATATTGCTAGTTTCGCATTTCCTTTTACTCAGCTTCCAGTGCAAACCAAGCTGAGAAAATAATTATTAGAGGATTAACATGTACCACAGCATTATTTTCATATTATTGTAACACGAATTAGCGATATCAAATTACTAGGATCTGAAACATTTCAGACACTGACAAGATTGGTATAAATTATGGAATTATAATAAGATGGTAAAATTCCTACATGTCAATCATGCAAAAAAACATACTCTACTTTAACATGAAGAAAACAAGCACTCTAGCTTTTCTTACCTTATGATATAGTCTGTTATTTTCCCATTCTAATAACTTCTGAATTGATCTTCTAGTCTAAAAAGTAAGTCAGAACTGTATTATGAATGGTTCAGTAGCCAGCCTCATCCAGAAGAATCTTACTACTGTATTTCTGGCTTAAGAATCGTTTAAAGTAAGTTAGTTTCATAGAAGCAGAACCAAGCAAAAGAAAAATTTTAAATGGAAGCCCTTTCACTTCAAGTCCCCATTCCAGAACATCAAATGATCTTCAGAAAAAAGAAAAAAAGATTTTTTTTTCATGTTAACTTAGCACTACAACTTTGCCAAAACACTTTTAGTTATTAAGAGATCCTTTTGAATGTAATATTTTTGTCCACCATAGCCAACAAAATAATATCTCCCATCTCCTCGCTACAAGAAGGACATCGAGGTGCTTGAGCGGGTCCAAAGAAGGGCGACGAAGCTGGTGAGGGGCCTGGAGAGCAAGTCCTATGAGGAGCGGCTGAAGGAGCTGGGCTTGTTCAGCCTAGAGAAGAGGAGGCTCAGGGGTGACCTTATTGCTCTGTATAAGTACATTAAGGGAGGCTGTAGCGAGGTGGGGGTTGGCCTGTTCTCCCATGTGCCTGGTGACAGGACGAGGGGGAATGGGCTAAAGTTGCACCAGGGGAGTTTTAGGTTAGATGTTAGGAAGAATTTCTTTACTGAAAGGGTTGTTAGGCACTGGAACGGGCTGCCCAGGGAGGTGGTGGAGTCACCATCCCTGGAAGTCTTCAAAAGCCGTTTAGATGTAGAGCTTAGGGATATGGTTTAGTGGGGACTGTTAGTGTTAGGTTAGAGGTTGGACTCGATGATCTTGAGGTCTCTTCCAACCTAGAAATTCTGTGTGATTCTGTGATTCTCTTGGCCGAATACCGCACTCTCTGCAGGTCAGTTACTGACAATACAGTTTACAGACACGTAGTTTCCAGGTTTTGTTAATGAAATTGTTATCTGAATACTGAAAAATTTCAACATCACAGAACTCCAGCTCATAATAAAGCCTGTATTTTCCAATTCCTAGACACCGAAGTGCATACAACCTTCACGTTCTGCTCTTTTAACTTTCTTACACTGTGGTCCAATTACAGGCTTGACTCTAATATTAAAACCAGTTTACAGTGAGGCTTATAGCTAGGAAGACTGTAAGCCTTCTTCTATACCTCTATAGAGAGCTTCCACAATACTTACAATAGTCCATAAGATCATGGCAACCATCAACACATGAAGGGGAAACCCTGGATAGAAAATCTATCTGCTTCCTCAGTCTGTATCTACACTAAGGACCTCATTCAAGCAGAGCAACCCATTTCTAGACGTAACAAGGCATTTCACTTACTGGGGGAGAAGGGAACGTTTGGGGAGTTTCAGTGATTTTTAAGGTCACAGAAAGATCACTGACAACCTACTGCAGTTCCTGCATGGTATTCCATTCACTGATTTCACTGATAAACCTAACAATGGATGCGAACCACACCACCTCCTTAAAAGAGATAGAGATACCCATCCAATCCTAAGTCAAGGACATAACGGTGGAGAATCCACCGCCTCTTTGCAAATTATTCCAGTGATGAAGCTATCCTCATAGTTAAGAAGTACATGCTGTGTCTTGTTCCAATTGTTTTGAGTTTCACTTTTTTTTTTTTCCATTTTGCTGAATGGGTATACATGGACTGGCTGTGATGGAGTTAATTTTCTTCACAGCAGCCTGTATGGTGTTGAGTTTTAGATCTCTGACTAAAACAATGTTGATAACACACCAGTATATGTTCTGCTCTTGCTGAACAGTGCTTGCAGATCGAGGACTTCTCTTTCTCCCTCTGCCTGCCCAGCATGTAGGGCAGGGGTGGGCAAGAGGCTGGAACAGCTGACCTAAGCTCACCTGTTCAGCACCAGGTAACACAATGCTCAGCAATAAAACTGGAATCATCATTGCCAAGAGACTGACTGAATGGGCATCGGTCTGCTAGTGGGAGGTGAAAAGAGATTTGCCTTGGTATCTTCTGGGTTTTCTTCCCTTTGTTTCTCTATTCACTTATTAAATTGTCTTTATCTTGACCCATGATGCTTTTGCTCTTCAGATTCTGTCCCCCATCATTCTGGAGGGGTGAGCGAGTGAGTGGCTGGTGCGTGCTCTGTTACTGGTTCAACCACCACAAAAGAAAACTGAGAACCACCTTATCCTTTTGATTCTTAGTGATGTAATTTGATCATATATACTTCATGCATATTTATACTCTTGAGAAATATTTTAATGCTACAATATCACATGGGCATTTATTTAGATTTTTTAATAGCACGGAGATATTTAACATGTTTTAAAAACTACAAATATTCCATCTCTATTTCTCAAGCACACATCTTTATAATGTAGAAAAAAGCAGTTTAAGTAAGTTAAATTAAGTCCTGTAACCTTTCAGTGATACAGGATTCAATAACGAGCAGTTTACTGAGTGAAGATATTATGCCTTCAGTGACAAGATTTCATTTTTTGATGCCAAAAAGTGTTTCTTCTTAAGCCCTTGTAAAAGTTTGGTGTCCACTTAAAAAGAAAAAGTTACCTCCACCAGTTCTCACCACTCAGAAGGGCTATAGGACATATGAGGATCCTACAAAATCCAACCTGAATGTTTTACATGGGATTTATTACATTTTGCTTATACAGGTATGCTTCACTTCAGCCAGTCAACACTACTGTTATTTTCTTAATCAAAAATTGGAAAGTTTGGCAGAACCCTTCTGAAAAGCAATAGTCCTTGTTTTTGCTTTGCATTTGTATCAAAAGCATTAAGTACTACTTTTTAACAGTTATTTAAACAGTTAAAAATTTAAACTGTTTAAAAAGTATTTAAACTGTTAAAATACCTATTTTAACAGGTATTTTCCTATATTTAAATTGACTAGTGCGCAGTTGTGCTTTTTTTTTCCCCTCACAGTGCACCCACATACTATCACAATTCACATTTGTGGACAATAAAGTTTTATGGCTTACAAGTCTTACGAAGTATACAACTACAGAGAATATCATTACACTATACCTATTTATGTATTTCCAAAACATTTATTGCTGTGACAAAGCTATTCTAAATGTAAACCACAGAAGCAATTAGGATCATGCTTGCTTGATACTGACACAGTGCTTTTGAGAAGCATCATTACTTTGGTGTATTACTTTGGAGCTGTTCTGCTGAAGGAAAAAAAGGAACTCTTTAAACTTCCAGAATGGAAAACAAATTTCTGTTTATTCTTAACAGAAAGAGCACAGTAAAGTAAGTTAAAAAAGCCACAGCTCAGCAATGTTTTGGTATTTATTACAAATAAAAAAGTTAGTTTGATTGTAAAAATAACTATCTGGAAGAGGGGAGGGAAGAGAAAAGTAAGTTTTCATTCCAGTTCATGCAACCTTTGAGGGTCAATGTCTAGTTTTGCACCCAATTCAATTTTTAGAGCTTTAAAAATCATGAAAGTTTAGGTTACCGTATAGTACACAATGTTCTTTTAAGTGAGTTTGAATGTGGTAATCTAAGGTGTAGCTAATCCTATCAGCAATTTGGTATCATTTACTTCATTAACAAATGTATTTTTTCTATTTTCTAAGGCATGGAAAATGGAATAAGCTTTGAATGCAAGTGAGATAAAAGGAGTTTGGAACAGAGATGATACTATTAAACATGATTTAATGTTATCAGTAATTGCAAAATAAAGAGAATAGGACAAATGAAAGATGTACTTACTCTTTTGTTAAGACAGACTACAGGCCACAGGCTACAGCCCAGTGTGCAGCAGCAGCACAGACAGCCACAGAGCAGCCATTTTACATTGACAGGGAGATTTTTTCTTAAACAAGCGTTTACACGACTGATGCTGGTCTTGAATTCTTCTGGAGCAACCTGCAACAGAAGCACTAAACTTCAGAGGAAAGTCACTACTATTTTCTCAAGAACTGTCTGTACAGATTAAAATGTAAATGAAACGTAACGCCGTTATGCAGTATGACCCCATCTTCTAAAACACTGGTCACACAGGGGGTATGGAAAGTCACTTTCCAAAACCAAATTCATTTACAATGCATGCTTTGCAAAACCTTACATTAAAAAAAGCTCAGCATAGCTTAGATGAGCAGCCTCACCCATATTGGTTGTACCATTAATAAATCAGTTGGCCCCGAAGAAAAGTGTGCAATATATGCACTGGCTACACTGACCACAAAAAAAAAAAGAAAAAAAGAGGAAGAATGAAGGATATCTGGTTTCCAAGGGAACAAGTAGTAATATGTAGTTACTTTGTAGTAAAAACACTGTTGTTTGAAACAGGAAAAAAGGCTGCTATTGTCCAAAATACTTTCATACCAATGCAAGTCTACACTGTGCCTGGGTGAAGGTGGAACACAAATTTCTGATGTGGTCCGCACAGACACGGGCCTACAACTTTACTTGTGGTTTCTCCCTGAGAAGAAAAGCCCAGAACATCACATAGCCTATTACATTCAAGGATAAAAAGTGCATTTTGTATGTGATTATGAATAAAGCCTAGCTGTTGAAAAAACAACTTAAGAAATATTCAGCCGAGTCTACTCAGAGGAATATTTTCTGTATGTTGCCACTGCAGAGAGTCACAGTGGAAAACTGCATCAACTATCAAAAATAAGCTTTCTCTGATGGTAGCATGTCTTAAAAGTGAGAACACTCGCCTACCCACATGCCCTGCATCTGTCATCTCTCTACCTTACCTAAATAACTTCAATCTGACAAGTCAAACGTGGATCATGGTATTAGACCAAACTTGACTCCAAGATGGCACTCTTAACCAGAACACAATCCAGGGTTTGGCTGCTCGAAGCAGAATAATCAGATCCAACTTCAACAAACATGAACAGTCAGGCACAACAACTCCAAAAGAAAACTTCTTCCCTAACTACTTGCCATGCTGAAGAACCCTCTCCCTGGGATTAGCCTGTATACAAAGCTGTGCAACTTCTGCATAATCCTTCCAACCACCAAGCCCAACTCCACTCAATTTAATTCTGCGAGCAGGGAGGATAAAAAAAAAAAAAAGCTTTTATGACAATGACTCCTTTCACTAAAGAAGCAAAACCAGCAGACAGGAAGTGGCGAGGATCTGATTCTGCTACCTCCGCCTATTCACAAGAGCTAAATTTATTAAAGCATTGAAGGAAAGGGAGTATGTAAATACAACATCTGTTTCCTAGCCATTCAGATCACCATGCAGCATAGAGTCAGAGGTCTTCTGGGTTTGTACGCTAGCCAGGCCTACAGCTAGTACCATACAAACATCATTTAACATTGTGATCATTTTATAGCAGGAATAAATATGCAGCAACTATTTCGTATGCAATTATACGGACTTAATTCCTTTCCTCAGTATTGAAAACTTTTTTTATTTCTTTTTACACAAACAAATGGAGCAAGTCCAAAAATTTTCTTTAGCCTAAAAGAAACATCAATATTTAAATACATTTGCAAAAAAAGTACTAGTTTAAAAAAATAATAATCAGCGAAACAAGCAGTGATCCCATACATTGGGACATTTTCAATGAACAGGAAAAAATCATATTGTGATGCAGAAACTTAGCTTATAGCTTGAAGCATCTGAAACAAAAGGTTTTGCAGCTCTCTGCCAATGGCAGCTCTTATATTCAGGATGCCACAAACATCCAACGGGTGTGGGTACATGTGAGTAAGACCATTTCACCTTCAAGGTGGAAGCAAGTTTTGTAGTACAGTCCGATCGGGTTGGTTGTATGCTGCAGAAGTAACATTGCACAGCTCCTGCAGTCAGACTTGCTTCCAAGTAAACTGAGATGATGCATTTGAACAAATTGCTATCCTTGATTCTTAAGGAAATTTACATGTAACTATGGTCCTAACATATACACCTTTAGTAAATCTAGAAATTTGTACATGCATCATCCTATTTATTTGAAAGATAACTTTTTTCTTGACTCCATTAGCACTTGTGCAGTGAATTCTACTACAAAAAGAGAACGTTCCCTTTTCTTGCAGTCACAAAGTTGACTGGACCTTGACAACACTGCATTTCACCCCCAAATACAGCTGTACAAACCTACTGAAGAGAATGCATTTGCACAATCCAGAGTTCAGTTTATCAGCAGGAAACCTTATCATCAGTGATAACATCCAACATGAAACGAAGACAACCAGATTCTTAGATCACAGCTGGCAGAAAAATTAAGAACCTAACAGGAAAACACTGCCATAGTGAGGTTCCCTACTTCTCTGCCACTTCTAAGGCACTGGTCATATCAGTTTAACAGCCTGATGCTGCTAAATAAGAACATTCCTGATTTTTTCTTGTTCCAGTAGAACCCAGCACTGCAAATGGCTAAACTAGAAACCAATTTTAGATGCCTCCAAGAAATACAGATTTCTACTTCAGATACTTCGGTATGCTGCTTACTTAAAACAGTATTATCAAAGCACCACTACTACCTGCTAACACGCCAATTACTCTCTTAGCTGCATCATGAGATGGAATTAATAAAGACTGCTTCAGCTAACCTAATCTACAGGATTTATTACTTCCTTTAAGAAGCTTAATCACAAAATATATTTGTCAATGCATCTTCATTTGAAGCTAAAGGAAGCAGTGACCATGATAAGTTTCATTCTGTGATAAACAAAAGCAAAACAGTTTTGTTCCTCTGGGCTTCCAGCTCAGTAACCATTAAGCATTGTTATGCAGTGACGAAGAGTAAAATATCTATAAATAAAATAACATTGTATTAATTTAATAAGAAAATGGTTTTCAGATGAAACTGTCACAGAAGAATTTTGTTGATTTTTGGACATAATTTTAAATCTTGTCTTTCTTGCAAATATAGGTTAATATGAAATGACCAAACTACTTCAAACAGAATGAACAGTGCCTCTTGTGCAAAGAAAGCCCACTAAAAGTCCAGTTTTGAGTATTTTTGGGAAGTCCCTTGGAAAGTTTCTGTTTGAGTCTTGAAAAGAACGAGATAAGTACATAGCTCCTGGCTGTGCAGTACACCTTGTAAAGAGACATTAGCTCCTTTTAGGTCTTTAAGGGGGAAAAAAAAAACATAAAAGGGAAGGAGAGGGTGTCATAATATTTTACAACAGGATGCAAGAGAATCTACAAACACAGGAAGAAAGCAAAGCCCAGCAGGCCTGATCTTTCTCCTTCAATCACCATGATCACAAACCCTATCAATCACATGTTGCAATGGGATCACAATACCAAAAGCACATTTTATGGCTTACATTTCCCTGCATTGCACAGTTACCTCTGTATAGGACCCTTATTGTTTTAAGATCAGGGCAGGAAGCTCCACTTGCTTTCTTAAGGTTCGCTGGCTCCACCATTTTCTTGTCACCTGGAGCATTGTTCACTAACACACCATATATCACGAAGAATTTTTTTTAAAGCTAGGTTTAAAATTCTTCGCAGCAAAGGAACCATCTAAACTTTAAGAACTAGAAGGTATGCTTCGTTTTGGAACAGCTACTAATCAAGCTGCTCTGAAAGCATAACTTAAAAGCCTGTTTTAAAAGAATTTGCAACTCTATAAAATCATAGCACACTCAATTTGAATTTAGCCAGAATTTAAATTTAGGCCAAAGTCCAACCACATTATTACAAGTTAAATATTACCTCTGTATTGTGTAAATTAGAACTTTTCTTACAAGATTTTGTTAAAAAGAATGCACTCTCTGAAAGCCCAGCTCTGTATTTATAAACCAATACATATTTATTTAACAGGATAAGAAGCAAGTCATTCATGTTGAATTAGCAAGATCCAATATATGACCTACTTGGTATTTTCTTTATTGTTTAACTTTCCAGGTATATTTTCCTCAAATATATACATCTACTCAAACACTCAGGATGTACTTGCATAAATCTTAGTTCTAGGCTAATTTACAACTATCCAAAATTTGCAAAAAATGAGAAGGAGTAAGAAGGGAAGATGGGTGAAGAAGAAGAGGTATTTCATATTTAAAAAAAAACAAAAACACTAAAAAATAGTGTGAGGTTTACTATCATCATTACATTAAAGGGCAAACTGCAAGTCATGAAACTTAAGTAAATTCTTAAGACTACACAGTGGCGTAAATCTAAGCAGCGTTTCTGGAAAAAAGTTTAGCCAGGCAGTTTTATCTATTTAGGATTTTTAACCTGTATAGGATAAAATTTCCATCCCTTGTTTAAAAATCTGTTAAATACAAGATGAAAATCTACAAGAAAAACAGCATCATAGGGAAGTCTATCAACTGTGCCTAATGGCTCCATGTACACGTCATTAGCAGCTAGGGGTATATTATTAGTATCAATTCACAGTGGACAACAAAGTCATTAAATTGAATGTTACATGGACATTCTGAATACAGTAGGACATAACCTTATATTAGCTATGTACTAATGTGGGCTTACCAGGAACATTTTATGAAAAAATTGTTAATATAAACAGCCACTATGTTATTCATAAATTGTTATTTCATAAAAAGTAAACATCTGTACTTTAAGAAAAATAAAAGACATTAAAGTGACACATCAGTTGACCGCAATGCTTATTACTATGACTTATTAATCAGGGTATTTGAAGAACACTTACTGGAAAAATCTGAGTTTTCATTTCCAGTAGTGGTAAAGGTGATTGACTGCCATAACCAGAGGAAGAAGCAATTATTCATTTTTTTGCAATTTATGAAAGTATTAAAAACCAAGCAACCCACAGCTGTGGTTTTTATTATCTTTCACAAGAGCGTGTGGCAAGCCCTAAGGAAAAAAAAATTGTTTACTACCTCATTTGATTGGTGCTTTCCCCTTGCAAAATGGAAACAAATTATTTTCAAAGTCATCTTTCTCAAGAAGCCCCTCAAATCCACATATAAAAAGAGGTATCAGGATATCTCAACAGAAGAAGCATCTCTACACACCAAGTGATCTCCATACACCAAGCTCATGTGATTTCTGCTGTCACTGATTAGACCTATAGAACAAGAAGGGTAAACCCAGGTAAGCCCAGAAAAGAACATCCTCTTTTCTCTTTGCTAAATTAAGTTCATGCAGTCAGCTGAACTTTAATTTAAACTTTCGCTATAGATCCTGTAGTAAAGTCAATTGTTCACTGTTTATTTAACAGGAAGACAACAAAGTGGAAAATGTGGCAGGCATTGAGGCTTGTGTTGGAAAGCAGAGGGTCTTACGTCCCCCCCCCCTTTTTTTTTCTTTTTAAATACACACACATTTTAAGAGAGAAACAGACATAAAAAGATGAAATAATCATCCAATCTAATTCTGACATTTCCTGCTGTGCTTACTTAAGGAAAACTACCACATGATTAAAAGAACATGAAAACTGTTATTTCCAGAGTATTCCATGGTTTTTCAGTGACCTGAAAGTGCTTTCTGGAAAATAAACCTTAGAAATGCCAAGTATCGAGATGGAGATGGTGTTATCACTGGCCTTCACACTAGGCACTATTAAGTCAGGAATATGCACCCTTTTGAGCCCAGTGAGGTCCTGAAACACGGCCAGGGTTCCCAGGTTGTCTTTTAACAACCTTTTCAAACAACAGTTGGACTGCTGTCAAAAGTGTTGGACAAATTGAACACGAGTATTTTACTTGTTAGGCTCAGGGGTGAAAACAAGGGAGAAAACCCCCATATGGATTTGGCAGCACCAGGAGATGCCAACGAAGGAGGGAAGATGCCACAGCCTCCGGCTGCATTTCAACGTATTGTGACTCAACAGCTACTGCAAGTTAGGCTGCAGGGACTGTGAAGCTGCAGCTGTATGGTACGTCATTGGAGGAAGCAGTATGAGTATCTTTTTCTCACAAATTCTGGAAAAAATGCACAAGGGGACCACAAAACAAAGCACTAGAGACTAAAACAGTCAAAAGGAAAAATATTCCAAAATTAAAAAGCCTCAAAAATATACAATTATGAAAATAAAACAGCAGAGAATTTTGTTAAAAGATTTCATTAATAGCTACAAATTAGTATCTATTAAACTTGCATTTAGAAACAGAACAAAACTGCAGAGAAATCGAGACTTGTCACCACCAATTTTCAGAACGAAATAATTACTGTATTTTTGAAAATGTCCTAAAAAAACCTACTCAACTTGTACCTTTAACGCTTAACACCATAATGTTTTGTTCCTTTATGCTTCAGATAAAACAAATTCTCTTCCAGAGATCTCTCTAAAAATTAACTCAAGGCTTGACAGACACATTGTAAAAAGGTCTAGTTTAACTTGCCAGAAGCAGCACAAACTCCAGGCACCTATAAAACAAGGGTAAGAGTCTTGCTTTCACGCAGACTGCCTGCATGAAAGCAGTATGATGCCATATTTAGATCATCAATAAAGACAACAATCATTGCAAGTTATTTTTTTCTGTAGGGACTGGTCATTGACCAGCTATTCCATACAAGACAAAGTTAAATTTAACAGTCCTCAGTGCAGTGCTGGCCTGCCACCAGTTTTGTCTGGGTTCAGGAGCAAGTATTTGTAACACAGAAACCACTGGAGGCACTGCATCTTTCCATTTAAAAGAACAGTTTAATCTCACACTTACCTTCCCTGTCAGAACAGAAGGAAATTCTGTATCAAACTTGTTGCTCAAGCCAAACCTTGAAAACAAAAGAGACAAACAAAATATATTCCACCTAACTTATTTTGGTTCCCTTAATTAAAAATGTAATAGATGTTGCATTTTAAAAAGAAAAACTATTTCTTTTGCCCTTACATTTACTTTATTTCATGAGCTTTCAATCTATGTTTATATCAGATCTTCTATATCATTCATAAGACAAAGAAATACAGCTCGGTGCTTTACTTTAAAACCTTCAAGCCACTAAAAGCAGAAAAGTTCTTTTACAGTTGATGGCAGTAAGTTTCCATTTTTGCTTCCTTAAAGAAAGGAAGCAAAAACCTCCACCTATTAAATTCCAGTTTTACTAGGTTTGATAATCCTTCTACTGCTGTTTTTTAATTCATGCAATTTGTTCACATGCAACAGATAAAGATAGTTATAAAGGAACCCATTCATCTCCTTAGAAAGTTTACAATTGTACAATTAAAAAAAAAAGGGTTTGCTCTCATGCAAAATATGCAAGGGTCTACACATCGAGCAGTTTAAAACCAACTATGAACTTCAAGAAAATTAAATCTTAGGCAACACTGTTAATGGTGGCTCTTCTCCAGTGAAGCACTGTTACTGAGCATGAGGTAAGGCTTCCTGGTGACGAGTGACAGGCAGCTAGACCGAAGTTTTCCGGAGTTTAGGAACTTTTTTCCAGAGTTTAGGAACTTCACACACCTACCAAACAATCTGAAATTTCCAAAAGCTCCTTTTGTAGGTCAGCAGGATACTGATGGCTGACCTGGCTTTTTTACTGTATTTGAAGCATGCATGGAAGCAAGAAATTAACTAAGCTCCAACACCATACCTGCTAGCTGCTCCTGAACGAAAACCTCATCACCCATTCTCTCCATCTCCTTGGAACTTTTTAACCTTTGCAATTCAGAAGTTTAACAGAATAACAACAAATAGCCTCTCAGCTATCTCTATATTTGAGCAAAGCTTACTGTCAAGTAAAACATAACATAAAAGTTAAATGCATTTTACACCAAGTTCTGTCAACCTTGCTAAACCATTTCCTGAATAATTTTGTTCAAAAAAAAAAAAAAAAAAGGATCATAGCCAAAAAGAAAAGCATGAATATGTTTGGTACTGTAGTAATTACTGTAGAACCAAACCTTCTGGAGAGAGTGTTTAGAGGCAAACTGACACCTGAATTGCTTTTTACTGGTCACCAGTAAGGATGCCAAACATCAGTCCTCTGCCATTACCTGATACATACATACTCATGTGCACCCAGAAATAATTCAGATACCTAGGCCTGGCAATGTAACTTGCTTTGCAATGACATGAAAAATAAACCTTTATGAAGAGAGAAGCACAGGACGTTGTGCTGTCTATAGAAACCCAGTAAAGCTAACTCAGATGTTCATCAATGATGCTGGTGACGCCTAATAGAGATCTTCAATGGCTAATTTAAGCTAAAGCCTTGACACTTGGAAAAAACAGCACATTGGAGCACTATTTGTGGAAACATTAAAAAAAATACAAAGATGAGACCTTCACTAAAGCATTCATCAGCCTTTGTCTCCTAAGCCATCCTAAACACTACAACCAATCACCATCCATTTGTGTTGCTTTTATTCAATGTCTTCATCACAAATTTTCTAGAAGTCAATGTGCCTGAACTGAACACCAGCACAGCACATCCAAGCGAACGCTAAAGCCGTGATTTTAAACTAGTGCTACAAATGCAAGCAGTAAAAACACAAAGGTTTTAGGCATGCACAAAGGTTACTAGTATAAGCACATTTCCATTTTCTGTCAATATCATCTGCAGGTTGGCTTCCACATTTCGTAGTTTTGTTTTTTTTTAGGATGAAATCTTCTGAGTTAATCTAGTAAGAAAGTCTTTCCAGTTTTAAAAAATACAGAAAACACTAACAACTATATGAAGCATATACATGATCTGCTTCTTGAGGAATACTGACTTTTCTGTTTATTGGCAGTGAAACTATCTGAAATGATGAAGTTTTAGCAATTAGCAATGGCGTAACTATATAATAAATGAACTACTGGAAAGTTCAGGTAAGACTGCAGAATTATTTACCCACATAGCAGGCTAATTCCACAAGATCATGCCAAAGGTCCACCATGCCATTTCCCCAGAACAGCCTTCAGACCTTCAAACGGTTCAAAAACTTTCCGAGCCATAGGCAGCATCTTTCATCTCACTGTCACAGATACACTCAATAAGATTGCCACTGCACTACCGATTTCCCCCTAGAATAAAATAGGCTAGTGCTTTCTGGTTTAGATCTATTAAGGACATAATAGCACAGAGGATTTTATTGGGTTAAATTTGAAGGCTGATAATGTCCTGAACCATATAAAAACAACAACCCTTTTATCAGTTGCAAAATATTCCATTTAGTTATAACACAACCAAGAAACCTCAGTTACAGAAATGCATCTATTTTACACTGACACCCGCAAGTGGCTAGAAGAGTATCAAAGGCCTGGAGCATACTGAAGACAGAATTATGCTACCCTATATCACATTTAGGCAGCATCACTGACGGCTTTAACACAGATTTACTGAAGTATTTCCAGAGGTTTTACAAGCTAAGCGTCTTGATGATTTACCACATAGTTGAGAAGGATTAAACTCATATTAGACGGGGGGCAAAGACTCAAGAGCCAAATAAAAAATAGCTTTTCTTAGAGCAATGGTAAAAGCAGAACATTACATAGTTCTAGAGCTTTGTGAGCATCTATGAAAAAGTACTAAAGCTGTCTTAACTTTTTTTCACATTAATGTTTAATAAAAAGTCTTGATTAAGAGATAACCTAGACTTTCTACAACAGATTAATGCACAGCAATAATTGATCTAGCAGGACTTTGCCTATAAAGCCTTCTAAAATTCAGTATGTTTACAAATTACTATGCAAAATGAAGGGCAGTGCCTGCCCTTTCAAGTATTTAAGGCATCATATTTATTCCTGGGTACGCTCTCTTGAGTTCTTGATTTAAGCTGCACAAGACTCAATGTTCAGAAATTCACCTTCACCTAAGTCACACAGATACTTCAGTTGCAGTTTGGCATTGCTACCTACGGGCACCACTGCTGGAACAGAACCAGGATGACATCAGTTTCTGCTGTCGCGTGCTCTCTCCCTCTCTTTCCCTGTTTAAAAGTATCACCTGAGAAAAGCCCCATCACATCATTTTCCCCATTTGCAAAGTGGAGGGAACACAGCTTCTCCTAGGCAGCTGCCCTAAGCCCCTCACAAATGAAAGCCTGAAAGGAACACCCTGAATCATCACTTGCTAGCCCCAGCTGCAACAGGTATCCCACTAGAGCTCCTCACAAAGCATTATCAGGAAGTGAGGTCTTCAGTCCCCAGAACTGCAACTGAAATATTCGGGAAAGCACTTTCTTTTATTTAGACTAGACATACTTACAGATGTTTCACTTTTTTTTTTTGGTCATTTTGATAGAAATAGCCCTTCATTCTTGTTTATCCCACTCCTTACTTACAGATGGTTACCAGTCTTACTAGACTACACACGCTAAACCCATTTAATCAACTCTCCTAGGATAGGTTCTGCAGTCTCCTTTCACCATGGGTCCTTTCCCCACACCTAATTCAGTTTAAGATTAACTTATCTTGAACAGATGAACTCAGATCACATGCACAACTCCATACAAGTAAAGATGACATTCATCAACAGCCCTCAGCTGAAATTTTTCTTTCTCGTCTACGGCCCTGCCCTATGAAGCCAAAAAAACACCAACCCAACAACTGAAAGGTGTCTTTTCTCAGGGATGATACTCTGGAGAACTCACTTGTAACTACTGGTAGGCTGAGGTCATTTGCTATTTAAAATATGTGGAAGGTGTGTAGCTTGGGAGTAAGCGAAGACAACAACCAAATGTCTTATCACAACTAAATGCACTTGGCTCTTCCCTAATTCGCGACAACACGCTTTTCATCAGCGCCTTGACTGTGGATCCCTGGCCCACTCCTATAGGAAACATAATGGAAGAATAAAACTTAACTTGTATCCAACAATAGAAAGTTTGCAGACTTAAGCAGGAATCACAAGCTGAATGCTAAGGGCAAAAAGATGTTTAATGGCTGTTTCATTACCTCATTACTATCCTTCCCCATACGCTTAATGATGTGGAAAAACAGTATGTCAGAAAAAATAAAACTCATAGCTAAGTTGGCATTTGTTTACTGCTATGTTTTTGGAAGTTACTGCTGCTGCTTTGGTGGGCATATGACTCAGTCTTCACTAAAAACATTTATGCTGAGATATTCTGACACGCCATCAAAGCAACACTGCTATGCAAGAAACAACAAACTTGCACGGAATTTCAGTGGCAAAGAAAAGACATTCACTACGTCACAGTAGTTTCTCTGTGCTAAAATTCAAAAGCTTGCTGAAAACAGTAACTATGATGCCTAGTTTTTTTTTGTTTTTAAAGCTAGAATCTTCCAGAGTGAAAGAGCACTGAACAAGATGAGCATAAGTTTTGCTACCTGCTTTCACAAACACTGTGAGAAAAACAAAACAAATACATTTTACACAGTCACTCTTACCATGCACAGAGGTGAAGGGTTAGCAAAACAGTCAGTGGAAAAAGCAAGATCTTACTAAAGCGATTCCTGGAATTTATATTTTGAATAGCTGGATACTGCAGTGTAACTGTGTTAGGGTCAGAAGCTCACTGACAAGGCTACAGGAATAAAAACTCTCATGCAACAAACTAATACATAGTTTGAATCTAGTACTTTGGAAGTATTTAAGAGGAATGTCCATGGAAAGCTGGACCAGAAGATGACCCTGGAATCAGAGAACATCCCTTCTACGTAGAACAAGGGTATCCAAGCAGGCCAGTGTCAGATGAGGAACAGAAGGCATCTGAAACAAAACAACGGCATTGTCTTCTCTTTAAGTAACTGCTTTTCTTTCTTTCTTTCTCCCTTTTTTCCCTTTATTTAAAAAGTGTCTGACTTCTGTCAGGACAGAATTTTTTATTAGCAACATTCTAGACAGGCTCAGAAAACAAACACAAGTTTTACTGAACGACATGTCTCTCACTTCAGCAAGCAGAGCAGGTTGCTTCTGAAGCCAACTGATTTCAAAAGCAGCAGCATCTGTGTGATCGGACAGTGACAGAATTTCAAAGCGGATACACACTAATAACCAGAAACTCTTTAGGAAGCCAAATATTCCCCATTTATTAAGGAGGTTAGGATTATATACTATAGTGTCCAAGGTTTGTTTTTTTTTTTTCAATTTTAACTGATAATGTCCACTAACTGTTTTTACTAGTTCAAGGAGATTTTTTTTTTTAAATGATGCCATGAAGTGATGAAAGAAAAGCTGCCTTCTATCAGCAGGCAGGTATATCTGTTACAAGGAACCTAGGAGGAGTAGAAGAAAGGGAAAGTAAGGTGGATGAGAATTCAGGGCATACATTCTAGCTCATGTCTCCCCCATCACTTAAAATTATTACTTTCTTTTGATGTAGATATCACTAGTTGACAGCTCTTGGAGATGCTCCTGCCCATCCCCAAAAGATGCTGGAGCCCCAGAAGAGCTTTAAGTACCATCACTAATACACAAAAAGCATCACAGAAGACAAAGCAAAGAGGTGTGTAACGTTTTTCTGTTTAGTGCTTAAAGACAGAGAGCTAATAAATGGGTAGGTGCTATTCTGAGCATTTTGCTTGTTACATCCCTCCTTTAGTTAGGCCGCATGCTCTGTGGGGTCAGGTCTGAATGAAAACTCCATCAACACAAGCAAGCACACTGCGGTGCAGCACAGCAGCTACCCACTGGCACTAGCTCAATGCAAACCTGATTTAGACTTACATGACAGACACCGTACCAAATCCAACATTAGTTCTCTTAGGATGAGAGAGCCTTCCCCACCTAGCGCTTTGCTGCAGAAAGCTAGATCACACTGCACCTATTCACAGAGAGAAATGTGCATTCTTTTATGCAGTCCAAAGACAGACCCAAAGCAACACAAGCTTGATGGATGTCTGCGATTCAAGTTCTGATAGCTCCCTCCTTGTCATGTAAAGGAACACAGCCACCACTGAGCTGTTGTGGCTGTATTTTGTTATACTAATTCCTCCACTTGTTGGAGTAGGAATAGTGAGAAAAACAAGACCAAAATTAAGCAAACTTTGCATCTTTATGTCAGTTTGTTCATCCTGCGTCCCACCACTTTCTGTGAGCAGAGCACACTGCAGCTCACGTTACATCCCAATGACAAAAACTGCTTAAACCCAACAAAACACGCAACTAACTTTGGAGATAAATTACAACGCAGCCACGTGCCTCCTCTGCAGTGCAGCACGGGGACTCCGTGGCTCCGCTGTGACAGAGAAGGGTTACGGTACAATCCCTCCAACAGCGCCCAAACCTTCGGGCTGGGCCCAGCACCGTGCGGGTTTCCCTTGGTTCTGACAGAAAACAGAGGAGGGAGCCCCAGGATCACCACGGCTGGGCCCAACGGGGTGGGGGGCAGCGGCCCCTCACAGCTCCCCCCTCACACAGCCAGGGGGGTGCATGGCTGGGGCCCGGCTCCTCCTCACCCCCTGCCCCACCAGGCTGGCTCCTGCCCTCTCAGGCTTGCCCCTATCCCCTCAGGCAGCCCCTATCCCCTCACAGTCTCCCCAGGCTGCCCCCATCCCCTCACAGCCCCCACAGGCAGTCCCCTGCCCCTCACACCACCCATGTCCCCTCACAGCCCCCTCAGGCTGCCCCCTGTCCCCTCAGGCTGCCCCCTGTCCCCTCACAGCCCCCTCAGGCTGCCCCCATCCCCTCAGGCCGCCCCCCCTCCTTACACGGTGATGTGCCCGGCGCCCCGTACCGCCACGGGATCCGGCGCATCGCGGGGCCGGGGCAACTCCTGGCTGCGCACCACGGGCCCGGACTCCTCCTCCCCTTCCTCCCCTTCCTCCTCCTCCTCCTCCTCCAGCTCGTAGATGGTGTCGAAGTCCGCCATGTTGGGCAGCAGCACGCTCATCGCCAGCCCACCCCCGGCGCGGACCGGCCGCGCGCATGCGCAGTGCTCCTCCGGGCGGGAGGGGGACCGGGCGGGAGAGGCGGCCGCGCATGCGCACTGGTGCCGAGCCCGGCGCCTCAGGTGTGGTGGCGGCCGGGGGGCGGCGCGCGCCCTTCCCGCCTTTTCGCAGCGGGGCGCGAGGTGAGGCTGAGGGGGAGGCGGAGCGACGGAGGCGTCTCAGTGTTTCTCTTTATTTTTTATTTTTTATTTTTTTAATTCTTTAATTCTTGTTGAGAAACGAGTCCAGAATAAATGGGGGTGTTGTGTTGAAGCTTTTGTGGGAAGCTAAGCCCAGTAGGAGGAGTTCCACTGCTGGAAAAGGAAAAAAAAAGCAAAAAACAAAACACCTTAGAGTGTTCTCACCTGTGTGCAGGTGATTATTGTTAAGTATACAATTTAAGCGTTTAATTTTAAAGTTTAAGCACTTAAATTAGTCCCATACTGCAAGTCAGAAGTGAGCCAAAGAGAAGTATTTGGTGTCTTGAATGGCAAGCTAGAAATCGGAAATAAAGTTCTGACTTTTTTTTTTTTTTTAAGTTTTAGTGTGTTAGTGTAGGTACTTTAAAGTGATGTATTTAGTTTAGAGTGTGGCCAAATCTGAATTTCTGTCTTAGAGCGTCTCTGAGGAAGGGAGCTCACCTATCCCCAACGCGAGGGAAGAATGGGTTTCTGCACCTGTCTGCTATTCTTGAGAAAGAATTTTCCTCATAAATTCTCTTTGCTGTTTTTCAGGGCTTGCTACAAAGTAGCAAAAAGCAGCTGATTTGGTTTTGAAACTCTTTGCTGATTCCGAAATCAAAATTGTATGAGCTACATATGAGCTTTATCTGTTCCACACACTTCTATTTCAACATTCTGCACAACTTACATGGAGTTACAGGTAAATCACATTCTGATGCTTGAGGAAAATAGAAAAACATAACTGAGGTAGAAGGTTTTGTTTGTTTGTTTGTTTTTTCCTCAGTGAAATTATATGTTCCGTTTTGATTTCATTAAGTAGTATGAGTAAAAAAGTAATATGAGTTAAAGTAAATTTATTAGCGATTAATATTGCGGATGAATCGCAGAAGAAGTAAGTGTGGGGCAGAAGGTATTTTGCTGTCATTAATCAAGTGTTAAAAAGTTGTCCTGTTTAGAAACAAGTTGAAAAGGTGAAAGTAATGCTTTAACTGATGATCTAAACTTTTTTCTACTCAGCTGCCATTCTATACTTGAGATTACCATTCATAATCTATGGAACGAAAGTCTTGAAACTGCTGAAATAAAGATTTGTACGGGTTACTAATAATGTGCGGGCTTTTATTTTATTCTCAGTTAAATTTGGGATGTCTACTCTTAACTGATCTGAAAGTCAAAAACATAACTTTTAATCATAGCTGAGCACACTGTAAGAAATTATATGTTTGATGCAGTGCATCGGTATTACACATTTTTCATACTTAGCTATTATCTTTGTTCTTGTCAACTTTGGCAAACTGTCCAGGAGAAAGGTAACGCAGTTTAAAATATAACTGCAGGGAATGTAGCCCACTGTCGTTTTGTCCAGTATTTCCTGTGAGAGCAAGCTAAATGTAGGATCTTGGGTTCAAGGTTGTATGCTGTTGCTGAGCAGAAGTCAAACAGTCCTGGAAGCATTTCAGAGCAATCTGTGGAACAGTTAGAAATGCTGTCTTTATTACGGGAACATTTTCTAGCACTATACCTACTGGATCTTTAAAACAAATAAAAGGGAAAACAGTTGCTTTATTTTCTTCACGGTGATGCAACACTTAATTTGTCAAGGGTTTGTATGAGTATTTACACTGATTTTATATATCAGCAGTGTTCCTATTTCTTAGAATATTTTCAACTGACAAGTTTAAAGTGAAGAGTTTTTACAGGTGCTTCCCTGCTCAAAGTAATAATTTGAATAGAGTGCAACAGGTTGCAAGTTGGGTTTCAAACTCTTACCCAGATGGGTATCATGTGTCATCATCTTAATTAGATTAAAGCATGGTTGTAAGGATAGTTGCTGTACTTCTTGATATAATTATTTTATCTGGACTGTGGCTTTGCAATGCTCCCATTAATGGAATTGTGAGTATATCAGCAGTAAGAATTTATTGCATTTGAAATACATATGTTGATTTTCACAAGGAACAGCCTCTCGGTAACCTTATGAATTGAAAGATCCTGTCCCGATTTGCTAAATCACGTGTGCTTTTGAGTGTGTATTTTTTAAAAAAACTAGCAGAACTCTGGCAGTGATTTTACTGATATTAGGTACTTGGATTTCAGAATAGTGTTCTATAAAAAGTCTTGCTGCTTAAAGTGAGACGAGGGCGGTCTGCTAGCTTAATGACCAGTTAGAAAACAGAAAAGAAAACGCAGTAATAAGGACGGTCCTCACAGCAAGGAAAGATTTGTAACGGAGTCCAATAGCCACAAATGCTGTCAATGTATTATTAGGAAGGGGAGTAGACACTGATGTGTCTTGCTGGGTGGATCTAAGGAGGGTGAGGGAGTTAAACCAATTTCAGCCTCGTTTTGTAAATTTATGCCCATTGCTCTGTATAATACCAGATAATGTTAGGGACAACAGTAAACCATGAGCACGGGCATTCAAAGTGGCTGGAGTAGTGCACAGCCTGCTGATGTGAATAACTGAGAGTAGAAGGGTCAACCTGTGAGAGTTGTAGGCAGGGGCTGCACATGGTCATGACACTGCCCTACTGGCGTGAGTCTCAGCATAAAATACTATGTGACCTCTTTATAATGAGTGTCTGAGGTGTTAGCAAACCAAGAAAGGAAGTCTCTTTAATTGCAAAAGATACTTTGCTATACTAACTTCATATTTAACTACTTATACTTCTTAATTAATAGGTTAATGTCAAAGTTCAGCTGAAGCTTCTGTAGATTTTTTTTTTGTGGGGGTACTCCTAGCAGGAATAATGACTATCTGGAGTAAAAACAGATCACTTTAGAAAAACGTGTTTTGTAGCTGTACTTTGTATTTAGAGGATGCATGCTTAATATTGGACTTCAGATGTAAGTACTCTAGGGAATGTTTTCAGTATGATTTATCAAGAATTAGGGCTTCTCAGGATGAAGTATTTAGATACTTTACTTTCACTACTTTTTTTGGAAGCCGTTTATTAGATGAAATAATTTTGCTGCAAAAAATTTGTGGACAGATGATTGTCTGTGGCAACGTTTATCCAAATTACTCCCCTGTTTTGGAAGAAAAACTGTTCTTAGGTCTGGCATGAAGCACTAAAAGAGTGCAGGAATGGTAAGAGTTAAACCAAAGCACAGTATTAAATAAAAGCGCTGTGGAGAGGACATGGAAAGTGAATGCTAGTATGGACCTGAGAGATACTGAGTCTTCTTTCAATATATATTTTCATTGTTTATTTCATAAAACTTCATCGTAATCATTCAGAAGGAAGAATGTGCCACAGGTGATCTCATGCTGACTGTCATAATTCACTCATTTCAGAGACTGTGCTTCAGCCAAGGAGGAGGTTGTTGGAGAATAGGAAATACTCTTGCAATTTTGAGAATGTATTTAGGACTTGAGGACCTGACTGGGGTTTAGAATGCCCCCGTTCTGCTACAGCAGAAATACTCTTTTTAAAAAGAGTGAACAGAATAAACAGTATTAGACCTCACCCATAAGGCACCCCATTTCCTAGTCAGTTAACGCATCTGACATTGAAATTAGATTCCTCTTTTTTTCTGAGAGGGAGAACAAGTTCAAAGTACAGGCTTTTGAAAGCTGTGTGTGTGTTGGCTTTATTTTATTTCTTTGCTTGCCTAGCATGTTTTTTCAGTCTCTAGTATGAAAAGTTATGGAAAAACTGAAATAGACTTGTAGAAGAAATCAACTGGTAGGATGTGGTGGTTAGAAATGAGGTGTTTCTTAGTACAAACTATTTCTGTTAATGTAAGCCTTATTGTTTGATGTAAAAAGAGCAGTTTTCCTAAGAATGGTTTCCATTTCAGTGACACTTGAGTTGCTGTGGAGAATTTACCCTGGCTGGAGTCAGGATTAACTTGACACAGGAGCAAGCTAAGCTATGGTAATGTCAGAACATCGGTGTTTATGCTTTGTAGTGCTTGGCAAACAACCGCTTTCTTGCAGTGCTGTTTTCAAACCTGTTCCAGCTAAGTTGTTTTCATGACTTCCCTGCATGTGCTGGGCTGCTGATGATTTTTGTCACCTTCCAAAGGGATTTTTGCACTTTCTCTTGTACCAAGAGGGGAAGATGCAGTAAATGGTCCCATCTGAGTGCATTATTCACATCACATTTACAGAATTTGCCATGGAAGTAAGCAGTAAATCTGTATTGGAATGCTCATAGAACTGCCCACGGACAAAGGCTGAAAGTGATCTGCAAATATGTTAAATATGAAAGCTGCAGTCTATCTGTGCTGCAGCTGTCTGGCCAGGTTTTATACAGAACAGAATATCAAGGGGTGCTTGTGCTGGACGTGGTGATGAGCTAGATATCAAGAGGACAAAGGTCAGTGACTACACACAGCTATGTGCTAAAGAACAAGAGTCTGTTCTCTTTTGCTAGAGAGGCTGAGAGCCCTTAAAACTGAACTGACCACTGTAGGAAGAGTGGCACCTTATCAGGCAGCCTTCTGCCCCCTTCATGTCTTGAACCTGCCAGCTGCCTCGTGGTGCTGGTGCCTTCAGTACAGAGTCATACTCGAAGCCTGCCCATGGCAGTCTTGTGTTTCTCTGTCCAGATCACTTGTATCCAGGTACTTGTAATCAAGTTCTGACTTCTCTTCTGTATGTCGGCTTTTCCTTGTACACGCCATTTCCTCTTTCATATCCACACTTCTAATTCCTCTGGCAGTACACGGTGCATAAACCTTGCTATAAACCACAAATTTGCTTTCCTACCCTTTTACTTAAGACTTAGGCCAGGTTTCTTCAACATATTGATATATACCTAACTGTTGAGTTTTTAGCATGGAAACGAGCTTATGAGTAACTGGGCTTGGGATGGTTCTATTACATGCTGAATTTTAACACACAAAGTGACTGCAAGCATGTGTTTATGATCTTTATCATTAAAAACTCACA